CTCCTTCAGGTGCGCACACTTGATCAGTGCTTGGGAAATGCACGATGTCTCTACCTTCTTCTTCTGACTGCGCTAGAGATCCCACATCGGCAGTCGGTTCAGATGGTTTGGGATCCACCTCGGATTCCGCATTGGAAGTCTCTTGTGAAGTAGGAACGAAGGAAGCATGACAATCCTCACATTCAACCTCACTGGCAAATCGTCGTCCTTTCCTTTGCTTTTTCTTCCTACCACATTTCTCTGAAGGTGCTTCAGTTTCCTCTAAAATTGTCACATTGTGATCTACCTGAAGAGACTCAGATTCATCAATTTCGTCCATAGTGCCATGGCCATCTGTCGAAACCACCTTCAAATTATCACTCCTTGCTTTTCGATGTTCTTCATAAACAACCTCTTTGACAGCGTCCTCATTTTGCAAATGCTCTTCTTCATATTGCTTCGTTGCCTGTGTTCCACATTCTCCAGCCTCGGTCAGAAATTCAGATTTTACGGCACACTCGCCTTGAACCGTCAGAATGTCATCGCTGTTTTGCGGTCCATCCTCTACAGGACCCAACGACTCATTCACAACGAATTCTTGATCCTTTGATTGTGAGGTTTCTTCCAATTGTTCCAAACTACATTGACTTTCGCCATCAAGCCTTCTGACTGGCTCGATATTGTTCATACTGAATACTTTCCTTGAAAGAGGAGCAGCAAATGTTTTGGGACTCTGAACTCTTGCTTCATTGTGATGCGGATTTGGCACCCAAATTCCCACGGAAGTTCCTTCAGATTCTCTTAAAGGCGGAAAAATATCTGCATCATGGAGAGTCCTTGCTTCAATCATTTCATCCACATTGCCTCCACCTTTGGCAGATTCTTCGTGGAAGTCTTCACTTTCACCTCCAATTCTCCCCAGGAGTTCTTTGCCGGTCTTAACCTCTTTAGCATTGCCACTACCTTCCAAATCACTTTCATCTGGTCTGTGTTCACCCTCTCCTTCCTCTTCCCTTTGATCATTGAGTTGGTGCGATGGATGCAAATGGAGTTCATTTCGATGCACCACTTCTTCAGGTTCACTGATGTCTTTAAAATAATCGACAAGCTCTCTTCGAACCCCCAAATTGGAATCACTTAGTACAGGTTCATCTTCTAGATAACCGAATGGTTTCTTCATTGCATGCTCTTCCTCCTTCTGTTGAGAGCATTCGCCCGTAGCAACGGTGGAATGTGAGTTGAGTTCGGAAACAATTCCTTGACCAACTGGGGAAGCATCCAATTCATTTCTACCTTCTGCTACCATTTCAGCTTCACTCACCATCTTCTTACTCTTTCGATGTTTCTTCTTCCCTTTCCTTTCCATCCAAGGTGTTTCTTGCTCCTCTAAGGGTGACGAAGTCTCAAGGTCCCGATTAGTCTCACATTCGACGATTTCAACTCCACCACCTACACCTTCTGTTAAACGTGTGTAGGATTCTGCATTCACCTCATCTGTGCAACCCTCCGAGACGTCTTTACTCTTCAGAGGTTTCATTTCATCTCCAGCGCATTCAATTGGTCTGTGCATCCATTCTTTATTATCCGACGTCTTTTTGTTCATTTCGGTTAAATGCACTTTGGTGTCATTCATGAGCACACTTTGAACTTCCATTTTATGTGTAGTGAAATGATTTTCTTCCTCCATAGGACTGACTGCATCACATTCGCTTGGCTGAGGAGCCTCTTCCAAGTCACCAGGAGCCAATCCTTCATCATCTACTGCATTGCCTTCTGGATTTGTACGATCTTCAAATTCCACTAAGTGCTCTGCATATGCATTTGTTTCAGGTGTTTGAATTTCTCCTTGCTCTTGCCTGTGCTCTTCTTTTCGGTGTCTTTTCTTCCTTCCACTCCTTGTGGAAAGTTCCTCAGGTTTTGAAAAACCAGAAGCACCAAAATTATGCTGATCCTCAAGTTTGACAACTTTATCCACATCGTTTGCACCTTCCATGGGATTGCCTAGTGCTCCTCCTCCCTCATTTCCCGACATTTTTAACGTCTCCCTACTTATGTGAGGCTGTATTTCAGCACCAACGCCTTCATGTGTCTGCTCCCCACTTCTTTCTCGGCACACCTCCTCTATCACCTCTGCCAAGGTTTCATTACATTCGCGGATGCTTATTCGATCGCTGCTTTTATCAATGACTTCAGCTTCTTCGACGCATTCGCCTTTAACGTCCAGTTTGTAATCGCTGATTTCGGACGAATCATTTAGGCATCCTGACGGCTCTTTTATCGGTATTCCTTGCTGACTTGGGTTGGAGTTTTCATTCAAAAGGCCAAACACCGATTCTTGTTGGAACTCAGTTTTTTCACCGGTACTGGTCACTACAGTTTCAAGAGGAACAGTAGGATTATCGAGTTCTTGAGTTTCGGCATTGTCTAGATGGCTTCTTGACTTTCTGTGCTTCTTAGGCTTCTTTCTAACCTTCAATGAAGGTGCTTCCAGTATCCCCGAAGATGGTAAATTTGTGATTCCTGAAGTACGCATCTGCAATTGTAAATCACCAGCTATGCTTTCAACATCGCCGTCTTTTGACAAGTAGTCTTTAGTTTCAGACAGACGCTCCACAGCTCCGGTCACACCAAGGTGCATACTGGTAGGAAGCTCATAGTCCGGTTGATGAGTTGATCTATCCATCGCAAGTTCTTCTTCATCTGGACAAGATATTTCGTCGAGACCATTAGCGTGCTGATCCTCCACTTCAGACACAAATTCATGGAGATCGTCTACGCTACTCAATGTGTCATTAGCTTTTTCGGGCTGTCTTGGATACTCCGCATCAGCGACTACTACAGCATCACTGATAAAATGCCTTTCCTTTCGACTCTCTTTCTTCAGTCCACATTTCATTGCCAATACTTCAGATTCCTCTCCAGACGACATTACACCAGCACTCCTACGTGTCCCACTTTCGCCGATTTCGTCCAAAGTGTCACCACCTTCTGCCGATTCCTCTCCTACTTCTCCCTCCTCCCTCAAACCTTCTCTCAAGTCGTCATCATCTGCCCGGGGATGCACCTCATCATCACCTTCCTCCTCCCTTCCTTCATCGCCCTCCTCCTTCTCATTCTCCTTCAAACATCCCTCAAATTCACCCGAGCGCTGCAAATCCTCCACTGCAACACCCGACATGCATTCACTGACGCTTTCTCCTTGTCCATGCACTTCACATTCCCTCATCCGAAGCTCATTTTTCCAGTGGTCGGTTGGTTCCTCGAGGACAGTAGTGGAAGGTTGCTCTCCTTCAGGTGCGCACACTTGATCAGTGCTTGGGAAATGCACGATGTCTCTACCTTCTTCTGACTGCGCTAGAGATCCCACATCGGCAGTCGGTTCAGATGGTTTGGGATCCACCTCGGATTCCGCATTGGAAGTCTCTTGTGAAGTAGGAACGGAGAAAGCAGGACGATCCTCACATTCAGTCCCACTAATAGAGTCCCTTTTCTTCCGATGCTTATTTTTTTCGTTCTTCAAGAAATATGTTTGGTACACCTTCAGAGGCGACACAACTTTCGGTAGAGTTTCGGGTTGGTGATTTTCGTCCATAGTGTCTTTCCCTTCTACATGATGATTTTGCGGGCTTTGGCTTTTCGTGGCGGACTCTGTCAAGTTGTCTTTTTCCCAATGCAGCCGTAATTCATCAGTGGCTTCCTCCAAATCCATTTCCCCTTCGAAGTGATCAGATTTATGAGTTTCCTCCTCTTGATCAGCCTTTTTCAGTTTTTGGGACTTATCAGGATTAATTGTTCCTCCATTATCATTCTGTTCTGCTTCTTCACTTTCAGTTCCAAATTTGCGGCTTGTTGAAATGCAATTGTCCTCCTGATGGTCGGGTAGGCATTCTTTGAGGACTAATAAATTTACGTCGCCTTCATCTACACATTGTTGTTGTTGTTCAACATGAGCTTGTTCATTTATAGGAGAATTAAGAGAAGAAGTGACTTCTTCCCCTCCGATCTCCCCGCCAAAATCTCTTCCGCCTCGATTTCTCTTATTCTTTTTCCTACTTTTCTTCGTTGCACTCACAACATTACGCTGTAGCCCATTTTTACTCGAATTATTGGTTGCACCGGGTGAATGCTCTGGATCTTGAGAGGTGTATTTTTTGAGGATAGAAATGAAATTGTTACTGTCTTGAATATCTTGGGTGGACTCCACCTCTTTGTCCCTTTCTGCTTTTATCTTTTCTGACCCTTCCACTGGATCTCTCTTACCCAAAATCACGTGTCCAGCTTCAGCATCCTCCAGTACATCCGAATGCGGGTCTTTGAGTGACGCTTTCTCGTTGTTCAGTTCTAAATTTTCACCAAAACTATGCTGATGCATTTCAGAAGGGCAAGATTCGTCAGAGAGCAGAACAGGAACTCTTTGACTACCGTTCCACACCACTTTGCCAGCCTTCTCGCCCTTTTGCTCGCAAAACTCCAGTGTTTTGGTGTCATTCTTATCCTCCTCGACCTGCGCTGCATTTTTAAGCTCTGTTTTTGCATTACCTTCTTGCTTAACCTCATCGTCGGATTGAAGGACGTACTCTAGAAGTCCATTGTGAGTAAATTCGCTGTCGACTCCACCAGTGTGGAATAGATTAACTTGTAGATAATCGGAGAGAACGTCAGATTCACTCACAGCTCCACCGGATTTCCACTCGTTAAGTTTCTTTATCTCCCCTAATGGTTCCATTGAACTTCCTCTCTCGAAGTCACCAGTACTTTGGAACTTGTTCGATGGATCCTTGCTTTTTATTTGAGCATCAGAGGCTGGAGCTTCCCGTCCAATGGCAAGAAAGTCATTGGCTGTAGCAGCACTACCTTCAGGTCTCACCGATTCATGCATACCGCACAACGGAGAAGACGTCTCATCAGCTTTTGTCAACTGATTCTTAGAATAATTTTTCTGTCGTAGTTTTCTAACCTTCTTTTTAAGTTTGATAGTTTTTGCTGTAGAAATGAGCTCGCTCATCTCATCGTTCTTTCGGCTACCACCCAATTTTGTTGGATAATCGTCTCGCTCCTCTTCAACTGATTTATTCCTCCCTTCATTTGTAGCATTTCTTTCCTCCGATGGTTTATCGTCAACTATGACGTTTAACTCCCGATGCACCTGTTTAGATATCAACAAACCACCCTCTTCTACGGCTTGCATTTCAGTTGTAGGACTTGATTTTAAAGAATCGTCATTTCTAACTTCAGAACTTGCAGTTTCTTCCGAACAACCATCTTCTTCTGGAATTTGAGTCTTCGTGTTAAGAACATTGGTGTCTTTTTCAGTTGTTTGTAAGGGCATTTTTCCGCCTTCATGAATTTCTACCGCAACCCCTTCTCTGACGCTGTCTTCCGCCTTCCTATGGCATAGTTCCTCCTCGTCGTTGGGATCGTTAACGGAATCAGTCGTGCTTATTGAGCTTATCCGCAATGGCAGAGCCAATTCACCCTCCTTTTCCTTCACTTCGGAAGGCAACGTCTCTCTGATAGTCCTATCAGCCTCTTCTTCCGAGTCATCTTCCTACAACCAAAATTAAAAGAAAATGTCAATTTTGTCTTCAAACATCTCGCATTAATGTGGGACTATAGAAAGACCTCCGTTCTCAGGCATCCATTTTTAAGAAATGGGCCCATCAGTGTTGGTGTGAAAGCAACATGATTATTCACTTTGCTCTAGAAGGTTAAAAGCTTGGTTAAGAAGGTAAATTTTTAGATTCACTGCTTTCTTCTCCTCCTCCTCCTCCTGATTACAAAGTCTTGGTTTCTCTACACTTGTAGCTGCTTAACGTCTTAAGTACGAATGCTATGCCCAACTGCAGTCCTAAAAACATCCCTTCTCTGCATTGCCATTACACTCGCGTATTCTTTAGTACCAACCGAAGCACGCCTAACCCCAAACTGCCCGTCCCTCCGAGCACGCATAGCTACGAGTGAGTAGAAGAGGTGAATCAACCGATGCAGGCCGAAGGAGCTGAGGCGTGGATGATTAAGGTGCGATCAGAATATCACAATGAATGCACCAGTGTTAGCACATACGTCAGGTTCTTCTGATTCAGAGTGATCCTGTGGTGACTCCTGAAAGTTCGCATCGAGGTATCTCTGCTTTTCAAGTACCTAAACAAGGTTTAATGGAAATGAAGAAATTAAAATTTCCTACCGATTCGTCTGTAGGCGCTTCAGAAATCACAGATAGTTGTGGACTCTCCGGACGCTCCACAAGTGGACCCCAGTTCACACTGCCGCTTTTAACCTACAAGTCATACACAAAAACAAACATTTTTCTCCAGATTAGAACATAAACTCTCATTCTACCCTCAAGTAAGTGACATTACAAGTTAGTGCATTCATTTTGAGCAGTACAGAGCAATAACCACCTCAAGCATTTAACGAGGTGGTGAAAATGTATTCTGTGCTACTTTCTCCTCTCCTTACTTGTCATGACACCAGGCAATGGCTACAGAACTTTAATTCACACATTCAACCCAAGGTAGTAGCTTTTCACTCCCCATCACGTCCACCAAAAAGGTCTTACATGAACCGCACAAAATGGAAATGAAAACTTCAAAAGGAATGTTTACGGGACGGATGGCAGAGAAGGAAAATGTGGACAGGAAGGTGTATTACCTCATTAACCGAAAAGTTGTTGAAACCACACACAAACAGGAGACCACTGTTCAGCTGAGTTGGCAATTCATGATTCTGTCCTGGCCACTCTTCATCCACGAAGACGGACGCTTCAAGGGATTTGGAAGGTAACTAAAAATACAGCAAGATGCATTAGGTTCGCCAAAAATAAGACTTTTCCGGTAAGAAAGTAAGAAATTTCGTGATAAGGAATAATCGGAAAAGAAAGTGAAAACTGGCAAATAAAGAAACGAATCGCTTTGTCGACTAATGCCAGAATGAGCTCAAGATTTTACCGAAGTTAATAAAAACATCTCATATAAATCTCGACGAAAAATCAGTTGCTGTTGCGCATAAACATAAGACACACAGATCTAAGTTTGTAAATCTGTAAAATGCATCACGGAAGTGTAGAGCAGGCAAAAGGAAGGTGGACAATGAGGCTTACCATCTCCTGAACACCCGAACCAGTCAATGGATCA